CCCCGGGACCGGCAGCCAGCGGTGTTGGCGGCGGCGGTGGGGCTGGGAGGCAGCAAGGCCACCGAGGTGTTACAGGGTGTGGGGGTGCCCGGCGGGATGCAGAATGGGGGGCGAGGGGGGATTTCATACAGGGGTGCGGGAATCCACCCTCAGATCTGCTGCCCCATCTGTAGGACTGGGGTTGGGGTTGGCTATGAGGTGCCAAAATCCCAAGGCCCTGTGATTTTGGGCTTGGGGACAGGGCCGTTGCAAGGAGCGGGGGTGTCCCAAGCCCTGCTGGGGGGTCTCCATCCCTGAACCCTCCCCTCGGAGGACACCCTGGAGCCCAGAACACCCATCCGCTCCCTTGCCTGCTCCTCCAGCGCATCACCTACCGCTTCGGGGGCCTCAGTTGGCGGTCATGATGCCCTGTGAAACACAGCGTGAGAACCGCGGCCCTCAGCTCGCTGGGGAAGCGAAGCTCTGCTTGTGTTTGGTACTTACTTGGCCGGAGGCTGCCGTGGTGCGGCGGGGCTGGGCACGGGCGGGTGGTGGTCAGGTTACTGGGAGCAAAGCAGAGACGGCTTATGTGGAGGTGATGGAGAGCATCCGTGTGACAAACTCTCCCCTATTACCGAACCCTCCCCAAATTCTGGCTTGAATTACCCCAAATGCGCTTCCCAGAATTACACGTCTTTTAAAATCTCTGGATTTTCACCTTTAACCACGAGAAGTCTCCAGGGTGATGCCACTTGCTGCATTACATTTGCTGCTACTGCAAGGGTATTTGGGTGCAAGGAGCTGTATTGGGGTGCCTTCCCCTCGCCCACACACCTGTTAGCATGGGGCTTACTGCGACACCCTGGAGCCATGCTGGGACCATCCTCATCCTCCCCTGAGGTGTCCAGGCAGCCATGTGGGTTGTGGGGCTCCAGTGCAGGGCTGTCACCTGGGGCCGCTCCTGTGCCTCCGGGGAGGAAGGACAAATAGGCAGGAGTTCGGTACCAGACCGTGCCAAAGCATTGGCTCCAGCAGAATTTGGCTGTATGGCTCAAGCAAGTTGTCTGGGTTTTAGTTTGCACCCTCTTACCTGAACGCCCAGGACGTGCTCCCGGCACAGGCGCGTACAACTCGTCCCCAGGCTGGGCTTTCCCCCCGAAGGACCTGGGGTCAAAGGAAGGAAGATTTATCTCATGGGTGATGCTGGGAACTCATCCACGGAGGAAGAAGGGACAGGATGGCAGCTTTCCTACTCACACCTCGCTCCCCCGGAGCCGTGTCCCACTGGCGTGGGGCAGCGTGGAGCAAAACTGCAGCTGACCGGGTTCCTGCTAGGACGGAGGGATGGCCTGGGGTTTACACGTGCATGTCCCTCTGCCCACCAAACCCTGGCGCCTCTCTCCACCAACCCCCATCTTGGGTCTCAGTCCCCAGCACCCCGATCTGCCCCACGCCCCTGGGGTGATGCTCACCGGGGCTGGGGCGGGCGCCCAGCCACCCCCGCAGGGGAGGCGGACATGGAGGCAGAGCTGGTGCTGGATGGCATCAGTGAGCTTGTGCACGACCTGCTCACGGGCGGCTCTGGGGGTGTCCTGTGGAGGAGGGAGCCCGTGTGGGCTGGGCCAAGTGGGTCTGCCCCCAGGGCTGGGGCAGTCGCCCCATGATGCACGGGAGGGTCCAGCCTCAGGGGTTTCCCCAGCGTGTCTTACCTGGCAGTAGGAAAGCAAAGTCAGGGCTTCCTTGTAGTGCCCGATGGCTTTCTGGGGGTCTCCCAGGTGGAAGCAGGCTGTTCCCAGCCCCTCGCACGCTTGCCATTGCCCCTGCATGTCCCCTGGGAGGTGAAGGGCAGCATCAGTGCTGGCCCAGCATGTCGCAGCCGAGGTCCCGGGGAGGGAGCATCGCTGATGCCCTTTGGATACGGTGCATGCCCAGCTCGAGTCCACTCGCTTGGCATCCAGATGCTGCAGACCCCCCAGTGCAGGGACAATTTGCCTGCACCTCCCCTTACCCGAGTCCCGGAAGGCTTGCAAGGCGTGCAGGTAGTTCTCTGCGGCAGCCTCGTGGTTCCTGAGCTGGCTGCAGGCGTACGCCAGGTTACCGAAGCACTGCCCCTGTGCCCTCCGGTTCCCTAGAGTACCTGGAATTGGGAACACAGGGCTCCATCCTGAGCCGGCACATCCAGCAAAGCTGAGAGCAAGAGATACCTGTGTGACCTACTGTGCAGCGCCGCCGCTCGCCGGTGCCAGCCCAGGGCTGTGTTGAAGCTGCACAGGGCGTTGTGGGCAGCACCCAGGTTCTGCAGCAGTGCAGCCTCCCTGCGCCGGTCTGGCTCACCACTGCAGAGGGCAAGGGCCCGCTCGAAGCTCTCAGCAGCCAGGGAGAAGATGCAGAGCTGGGAGTACCCGAGGCCGATGTCATTGTAGAGTTTCCCTGCGGGGCAGAGAGGAAAAGCTGGGTGCGGGCGCTGCTCACCAGGGCACCAAGAGGAAAGGGTGCGGCGCGGCATTACCTCGCAGGGCTGGGTCGGGGATGTTCTCACAGAGCGAGCGGCACTGGGTGAGGACCCCCACGATCTCTGCCGCCCTGAACCGTCGGCTCTGCAGCATGGAGCCACTCGCCCTGCTCAGAGCCCCCGCGGCAGCCTCGGGGCTCGCGGCCGCCGCGTAGGTCTGCGCAGCATCCAGGAAGCAACGTGCGGCTCGTGCCGGCTCCCTCATCCCCAGGTAGCAGCAGCCCATCTGCACACAGGTCCCTGCTTGGCTGCCAGCCTGTGCCACGTGGTCATGGCCGACGGCTTTGCCAAAATAATCCAGAGCCTTCGGAAAGTCCTGGAGCCCTTCGTGAGCTGCCCTGATGTTGAAATAAAGGTCCCCCAAGTGCGCCCCGCTCTCCTCCTCCGAGGGCTGGGACTGGAGGAGGAACTCAAGGCCCTTTTCAGGCTTTCCAGTCTCCACGTAGGCAGCCCCCAGGTTGAAGGCACAAGCCCTGCGGAGCCGGGGGCTTGCCGTGCCCCCAGAGAGGAGAAGTGCCTTCCTGAAGCACCCCACCGCCTCCCGTGCGTCGCCCAGCGCCAGCGCCCGGTGCCCGGCTAGCGTGAGCCGCTCGATTTCAGCCGCCTGCCCTGCCGCCTCGTCCCCTCCCTCCATATTCCCCAGCCTCGGGCTTCTCCTTCCCTTTCTTCTGGCTCTTCTTCTGGATGGCGGGGGCTGTGGGCTGTGCTCCTGGCTTAGCAGCCTCCTCCGAAGCCATGGGCAGGGTGAGCGACCTGTCTGCAAGAGAGAGAGATGCAGCAGGCAGCCTGAGCCAGCACAGTCCTGGGATTTCTTGAAGCAAGCAGTGTTATTTTATATTATTTAAAGAAAAATTGGAAAAGTCTTGTAGCCTGTTTGCTGCTAAAATTTCAGGGAGGAAAATGGCCTTTCCATGGAGGACCCCAGCCCAGCTTCTGCACTCGGTGCCTGCCTCCTGCAAACATTTGTGGCTGCCAGAGAGGAGAGAGGTCACTGGAAGAGGAGGGGGAGACGCCGCAGCACAGGGTGGGTGTTCCAGGGGTGTCTTTTTGGGAGGCAGAATAACCGGTTGCACACACTTACTGTTTGCTCTTTAGGTGCAAAGGGTGCTGAGAGCATGGAGGGGAGGGACAGGGCATCACCACCGGTTGCAGACGCGTCGCTGCTGCAAACCGCTGCTCTCCAGACAGGGGTGGAGGGTGTCCGAAGGGCCTCTGAGTCCCGCCGGGGCTGGGCTGCCTGGAAAGCTGCCCAGAGCGGGTCGCAGCCCCCTGGATGATGGATGCTGGTGCCTGGGACCTGGTGCTGGAGCAGAGATAGCTTTTGAGCGCCAAGAAAATGTCAGGGTTGTGCGTGGCACGCACAAACTGGGACAAAGCCAG